GTTAATCTTCCCATTTATTTCTTCTTTCGTTATTTAATGGGACTCTGAGACTGGGGGATTCGGTTTGTATGAAAAATCTGTCACAAAAGAAAGTCAGCTTGCAGTGCCTGGATGCTGGTATTTGCCAAGCACAGGGTTTCCAGCCTCTCTTCATATTATTATATACTATAGGGATGAGTCATGCCTGGAAAATGTAGTGATTGTGAATTGCAATTGTCCTCTGCTGAAAAATCCGGCTTAAGAATTGGCTCACATGCTCTAGTTCACCAAAGGGCAAACATCCTATTAATGTGCCAACATCTTATTTCTCTTGTCACAGTCAGGCAGCATGACTTCCTCAGACTGGGGACCAGAGCTTAGAGATGCTAGAGATTCTCTGTGAGAGCAGCAAAGGGTACAGTAAAAAGGGGAAGAAAAATCTTTCTATTAAATAACACTGGGCTGAGTACATTGGCTTACACCTGTAATCCCAGCACGTTGGGAGGCCCAGGGAGGAGGGAAGATCACTTGAGCTCAGGAGTTTGAGACCACCTTTGGCAACATAGAGAGACCTCATCTCTACAAAAAGTAAAAAATATTAGTCAGGCATGGTGGCATGCATCTGTATGTAGTCCCAGCTACTCAGGAGGCTGAGGTGAGAGAATTACTTGAATCCAGGAGATTGAGGCTGCAGTAAGCCATAATCACACCAGTGCACTCCAGCCTGGGCGACAGAATGAGATTCTTTCTCTTTAAAAAAAAAGTAACATGGAATGAAGGAGATAGGGAAACCACCCATTGTTCCCTCCTGGAACTCTAAATCAATTCTTATACTCTGGGGGGACTGAGAGAGTCAGAAGAGATCGTGGGTCACCAATAATCCCTACATTTGTGCTCAGAACCTACTTGCGATGGGGTAGGGAGGCTGAACTCATTCAAGGCTTTTGCGTGGGAGCAGTTAGTTCCAGCCCCTATTTAGTGGCACTTTGCCAACATAACGTCCCAACACCAGCAAGGTCAGACCATAGAATTAGCTTGACATGAGAAATCTGGGGTAAAATGGGAGTTCAGTTGGTGGGTCCTGGTTGCTAAGGGCTAATAGAAAAGTGAGGCTTAGAGCCGAGGCAGGAAGCCATAACTGAATTTCACCCTGAGTCAACTCCCTCCAGCCTGTGTCTGTCTTCCCAGAACTGCTGGTCTTCCCACAGTTGGGCCACATGAGTCCTTCCTGTTACTAGAGGGAATGGATGCAAATGTGTGGAAGGGGTCCAGGTTACTGGAAGAGCATTTCCTAAAGTAAGGGTGGCATGGAAGTGACCCCTGTGGGCATCTGTGAGGCCTTCCTTTGATGTCTGTTGTTGAAACCCTGCTTATGAAGTTATCTGTTTTCATACAAGAACATTTTTCTTATTCCCCTTCCTTGAGCAGTTATAAACATAATATCTAATAATTCAATACTCTCCATCAATACAAATTAGAGCTCCAATCCTAAGAAAGGGGTAGGTTCTGGGTGATATCCCTTATACCAAATAATCCTCTAAAGATTATTATTACAATAACATTAAACAGAAATAGAAATTAAAAAAAAATGGGCTGGTATCCCGACTTTTCATTTGATTTAAAATGACTGATTTACTGCTGGGAAAACCTCTTTTCAGAAGAAAGCTTGTGTGAGTTTTATTAGTTCCCTTGTAATATGGCCACAAGGAAGATGGGATCGTCGGTACTGCCAGCCCATCCTGCATAATTTAGGTATGTTTAAACCCAAAAGCACATTTGTCACATGGGTTGTCAGAACTCTACTGTACAGAGTTAAGTGAACTCTATATTAGAAGGCTTTGGAAGACCACAGCATCCTCATCCCACTCATCCCCAACCCAACTCCCTGTTTTCCCTGTTGAAAATAGACCTAACCTTGGGTTACAAACCAGAACCAGAAACAAGGCCAACTTCAGAATAAGAAGGATGAAGTGCTGTGTTCTCCCTAAGTCAGTGGTTCTTTGACTTGAGCTTGCATAAGAATCACTTGGCAATTGTTTTTTAACCTGTAGGGTTTTGGAGACCTTATCTTAGAGATTCTGGATCTCACAGTTTCTGGACACTGTCTAAGCCAGTGGTTTTCAAATCTAGTTGCTACTAGAATCTTTTAAATCTCTGTTTTAAAAAGAGATGTTCAGGTTGCACCTAATTTAATCAGAATATCTGGGAAGCCAGGTGGCTTTTAAAAGCTCTGTGGGTTTTCTTAATATGAAGCCAGAGTTATGAGTCCCTGGTGTAAGCAAAGAAGCCTCCAGTATTGACGTGGCTGAAGGCTCTTTGGAAGTGTTTTGCATGGGGCAGCTATCTTGACATGCTTATCTTCAGATAGTCGAGGTATCCTGCCCCGACACATCCAACTGGCCGTATTAAAAATTCGTGGCTTACAACATGGATAAGGATTAGAAGGCTTGTGAAACCCTTGGATTCACAGGCTAAAATTTGTGCAGATGTGCATGTCCCCACCTTTCTAGGGAGATAGTCCTTAGCTTCACTGGATTCACTTTATTTTCTTCCCCACCCTCTTGTTTTATTCATTTAGTCATTCATCCCTTTCTGTCCCCATGCCCTGTTCCCATTCTAGTGGTTAAAGTATGCTAAAGTATGTCTGGGACTCATAAAGTATCCCTTTTTGATAAAGTATATCTCTTTGCATGCTTTTCTTTGCTTTCTGTGGATCTATTTGTAATTCATCTGAATGATGTGCTGCTACTCAGTGCTGTGCTTTTAAGATCTATGTTAATTGGTATGCACACATCTAATCCATTACTCCCACCTGCTGCATCCTGCTTCATGAGGCAGCCCCATTATTCTACGTGTCTGCTTCCCCAGTGATGGATATTCAGCATATTTCCAACTCTCCTTGGCCATGAACAGCCAAGGCTTCTCACAGCTGCCCCATGTATGTCCCCTTACAAACCTGCATAAGAACTTCTTGGGAAATATACCTAGAAGAGAAATTGCTGGGTCACAGTGGTAAGCATGCAGTTCTTTTGACTAGGAAGGGCTGGACTGCTCGCTATATACAGAGCCAAATACTCCCATTCCCTTCCCTGGATTCCTGAATGAGCTGAGATCTGCACCCTGCTGAAGTGTAAAGGCCATGATGATAGTCTAGGCTGGGCCCTCGACTCTCATTGCTATTTGCCTTTCTTTTTCCTTCCTCCCGGTTGACCTTCTTTCCCATCCCCTGTGGCTGCTGTATCAAACCTTCGACACCACCCTCCAGTCTCTTATTCTACCTCAACTTCTTTTCCACAGAGAAAACTGATATCATCTTTAATTTCCTCCCTCTTCTTCTCAGTGTGCCAATGTCAGCCCCATCTTGATTTGTTTTTTCTTTCTTGCTCCCTTCCAGGGCTAACCTCCCCTAGCTTCTATTCCCTACCTTCCTGTCTTCCAGGGGCCTTGCTGCGTCAGCATTTCCCATTGTTTCTCCATCTCTCTCTTTACCGTTGGCTTATTCTGTGGCCTATAATCTTAGCCAATTCTTTCCCATCCTGAAACCAACTTCCCTTCTACTTAAGCTACCTCTCGTTGTTCTTTTTTAAAAATGTTTTTCAGTCAGATGCAGTGGCTCAACCCTATAATCCCAGCACTTTGGGAGGCCGAGGCAGATGCATCACGAGGTCAGGAGACCATCCTGGCTAACACAGTGAAACCTCATCTCTACTAAAAATACAAAAAGTTAGCCAGGCATGGTGGTGTGCACCTGTAGTCCCAGCTACTTAGGAAGCCGAGGCAGGAGAATCACTTGAACATGGGAGGTGGAGGTAGCGGTGAGCCAAGATCACACCACTGCACTCCAACCTGGCCACAGAGTGAGACTCCATCCCAGAAAAAAAAATTTTTATTTTTCATCCATCACCAATTTTTTGAATGCAGTGATATTTCTTCTCACTCAGTCCTCCATGCCCCACAGTTCAGCCGATGGCCTTCTAGTTGCCAAACCTCTGTGTGCTTCCTGGCTCCCTCCTGCTTATTTCTCTGTTGTATCTGACATTACTGACAGTCTGCTGCTTCTTGAAGCTGGCTCTCCCCTTGACTTGGCTCTCAGGACATTATTTTCTCCTGGTTCTCCGCATCTTCTTTTGGCTTCTTCTCAGTCTCCATCATGGCCTCCTCTCCCTTTCCCTTTCCTTTCATCTTTTCCCTCATGGCTCTCCTCTTTCCGCCTTTGCACTGCCACATGTCCTTCTGAGAGCTCACCTACTTCTTAGGCATCCTGAGTTGTCATATGACTCTGAAACGTGGATCTCATTTTAATCAACAAATAATTCTTGAAAACTTACTGTGTGCTAGGATCCAGAGTCCCATGTGACATATGAGAGTTCACTCTTTCTTCTGAGCTCTAGACTCCTACATCTGATTGAGTTTCTGTTTGGTACAGCTTGAGGATATGTGTGTACCTCACAGACTAGCTAAAATAAATGATGTACCTCTAAGTAAGTTTCTTCTGAAAGGGTCCAGAACACAGCCCTCTCTGACAACATGTCAGCAGATAATCCTGCTTGCTCTGATTTTGGCCTGGAAAAGGCACCAAAGGCCTCTGGGGTACAAGATGTACACCACATATTTTCTTTGACTAAGAAGTACAGGACTGCTCTCCAGTACAGCTGGAGTGCCTACAGTTCTAAGAATATAATTTGGCCCATAGATTTTTTTCCCCTTCCTTTGGAACAGTAAGACACAGATAGAGTACAGGCTGATGAGAATGAATGTATGATGTGAGAACTGTAGATCATGTTGATACTGTCAGTAGCAGACCCTGCCCTAAAGTTGCTTCCCCAAATAGTACTGGGATGATGAGGCTCACACATGAAGGAGAACTGTACCAGGCTGGACATAATTAAATGTGAAACTGAATAAATGTTATGCCTTTCTTGTAAAAGTTAGGCTGGGCAGATTAGGAAGGACAGAGTAGCAGATCTCCTCTAGGCCTAGCTGAACCTCGGAGGGCCAGCGGCTCTCTGAGACAGCCTTACCTCTGTTTCAGAATCTGCTTGTTGTCATCGATGGTAACGCTGTCAGCATGGTCCCTCTTGAAGATTTCAAAGGCCTCCTGGCGTCCTAATGATACTTCCTCTCTCATTCCTGTTTGGAGACACAGGGAAATGGCCTCAGTCACAGCATCAGGATCCTATTAATTTCATTGTCACTTTAGTCAGACTACAAAACCAGCCCTGGCTCCAAGAAGCCCACAGCAGAGAGGCTCTGACCAGACAGGTGGCCCCAGGCTCTTCCAGCTGGCCACCAACCAGCCAAAGAGGCCTTTCCAGTGCCACCCGCTGCACCCCGCCAGGACTGTGCCTGCACAGCCATGTGACTCATGGGGGGTGGGGTTTGGAACATCTGCTCAGAGGAAATGAAAACCAGAGCACCAAGCCCCGGATTGCCGAGGACGTCTGCAGATGCACGTTCTTGCCAACATTCAGTGCCATATTTCTTCCTGTTATGCCCTATTTTGTTATTCTGTTAAATTTCCAGGCATTTAGTTAAAAGAATTATAATCTAAACTGAAAGATGGCATCTAGAAAATTCTGCTTTTAGTCTCCGTTTAACAATTCATTCTTGTTTCCTGTGGTTAGTGAGGGGTCTAGGCTCTTCTTCAGGAGTTAGGTTCTCAATCACAAGACCCATGAGCTGACCGTAGCCGGGGTCCCTGGGTCATATCTAACTTCAATATCCTGTATCGCCTTTGCCAATAAAGGCCAACCTTCCCTGCTGGGCCCTGCTACTGGTTCAACTTCTGGAACCCAGGGTCAGTACAGCCAGGACCAGGCTCTCCTCCTCACCACCTCCTGGAGGGAGGGTCAGTGCAGATGTGTGCCTGGGACCCCTCAGTGAGAGCTGAATTTGCAACTGGATTTTGGATGCATCTACAGAGCCATTTTTTTTTAATGCTTCTGCCCTTGGTTCCTTTGCCTGGGAGGGCTTTTCCCATGTTTTCATCCAGTAGTAGCTCTACCTCTGTGGAGCTCGTCAAAGCCCATGCAGAACACTCTTTCCACCGTGTTCCTTATCAATATACCTATAACTCACACAGCTTCCGCCGTGTTCCTTATCAACACCCCTATAACTCACACGGCCCAGTGGACACTGCTACTTCACATGACAATCCTTTCTGGTGAAATGTAAGTTTCTCAGGCAGTAGAGATAATAGTTCTTTTTCCTTTTGGTGTATCCTAGTGTCTTGTTCAACATCTGGCATTTAGAAGGTGCTCAACATACATCTGTTATATGAGTCAGGTTGAGAATGAAGCTGGGTGGTGCTGAGCCTTGCTCGCTCTTATTACTGTGGGAACACAGTCCAGGGCTAGTGAGGCTCACTCTGAGGCCAAGGGTTCCACAGAGGCTTTCAAACAGGCCACTTACCATATATCCTCTTGCCTGGAAAAAACTCTCTGAGTCCCATCACCCATCCTAAGGGTGAGTAACTGGACTAGCCCAGCTGACACCAATTTAACGATTACTGTTGATAAAAATAGCACCATGAAGAATGTCTAAATGGTGAGGCACACAAAGACACTCCACCCTTTTCCAATCAGAAGCAAATGGGCACGACTCAGCTTTGTCTCCACATCTGCCTTGCACACTCTAGAATTGGGTAGGCCTGGGAATCCGCTTGTGTGAGATGCAGAAAGATGATCCCTGATGCATGAGAGACATTGAGGGGCACATTTCACCGCAGAGCCCCCCAGGAGCCAGCGAATTCATTCCACACCTCTCCCCCGTCCAGGTCTGCACCCAGTTCTAACAGTGCATGCCTTTTGCTACATAATAAAATTATAACAGACAGTAGAGGACATGAGACTTTGGACTGGAGTTAGGGAAGAGTAAAGCTCCATAGAGACCACACTGGAGCCTGTCTGGAGGATCCCTAAATTGCCTCCCACAGGGGAGCTGATGAGCAGGCTTCTACCAACAGAGAAGGTGTTGGGGAGTGGGGGGTGAAAAAGTTGTGGGGGTGGGGAGTGCAAGGTTGCTCAAAAAGCTGCAGGGAAGAAGGGTTCACAGGCTCTTCCCTCCCAGGCTCTGCTTTCTTTGCAGAGTTGACAGTGTGAACTGACAGGTGGGTGGAAAGAGCCATGCCAGAGCCCATGGCAATGTGACAGCAGTCGCTCCTGGGAGAATGTACAATGCACTGAGCAGCCCACCGGGGCTAACTATATTCCCAACAACCAACAACACAAAAGTAAATGACAATGTGAAAACACAAAACAACATGAGACACACCTTCCCCGAGGTGCACTGGGGCCTAGGTGCGGGGAACAGAAAGGACGTGGAGAGCCCAGAGGAGACAAGCACAGGCAGTTTGGGATCGTTGTGTACAGAGTCTTGAAGGTCCTGCTGAGAAATCTGGGGCCAGCAGCATAACATATTCTACATGCATTGCCAACTTTCAGAGACTTAAAACGGAATAAAGTACACACAATGGGGAAAGTTACACTGGAAGGATTTAATACTCTTCTTGACTTAAAAGGCACTTAGGGGTCCTGCAGTGCCAAGGGCTTATCATCAGGAACATAACATTGGTTTTCCTTCTATCACCGACAAGGTATTCTGGAGTTGGAGTTCTTTGATTGCGGGGACCACAGGTGAAGGACATTATAATGATGGCTATAGTCTTATCAGCTGGTTTCCTAACTGCACTCCGGGAGGCCAAGGTGAGGTGGCTGAAGCATAGCCAGAAGGCAAAGAGGAGAGGCAAGGCCGGGATGCCTGCAGAGACTTCATGGCCACCACTTGGAGCAAGGCTGAGGTCCACAGAGGGAGGGTCATGGGAAGGACTCACAGACAGCTCCAGTGTGTGAGCCCAGGTCCCAGCCTGGCCCTACCCTTTTCCATCCCCATTCTGCATGTTTGGAGCCCACATGCAGCTCCTTTAGATTGCACTAATATGCTATTTAGCACCCCAATTTGGGATCTGCTGCAAAGTTAATTAATAGCTTTTTATTTATTGAAGAAATCACTTCCTTTTCCCTCTGAGGATGTAGAAACAGGCTCTTTCTCCTATGGCAAGTTCCTGCTTCTCAGCATGCACTGTATGCATTTGAAAGAGAAGGAGCAAAGGAGCAAAAAGAGTGATTAAAAGCTCACTTTGCTAATGAGACAATCATCTATTTATTCTCTCAAGAAACATTTATTTATATTAGTCATTGTGCTAGGCATGTGACAGAGACGACGTAAAGTTGAACATCAAAGCTTCGATCCTTGTGTTTAAAGAATTCAAAGTCCAGTAAGGGAGAAAGAAAAGTGAACAAATATTTACAATGGAGGTTGCTGCTTGCTTTAGAGAAGCACGTGTCCAGCACCGGGAACAGGGAGGGAGGGAGGGAGAGAGGGAGGCAGGAACTCTCTGGGAGAGTGGGAGAAGCCTGCAAGCTGGAGGGAGCAAGTGAACTTCATCTGGAAGGATCCTGAAGGATGGAGCAGCATTTCCCAGGTGGAGTAGACATGAAAGATCCCAGGTGGAGGGGGCAGAGACGGAGTGCCAATTAGAAAGCCAACTTGATTAATACAGGTGGCTCTGCCATCCAATAGAAATGATCTGTAGTTGATTAAAAAATAAATTTCTTATATACACTATACCAAGCATAGTATCATGTGCTTTCTTACACATTATTTCAGTTAAACTTCTCTATGATCTCTGTTAATTTCATTGTATAGATGAGGAAACTGAGGCATAGACATATAAGTGATTATAAAGGGTTGAAAACTACCCAGCTTTTAGAGGCAGTCGGATCGCTCTTAGATCAGTTTTTCCATGGAAAGTAGGCCTGAGAGGGAGGGCAAAGTAGCGGGGCTCAAAATGACCTGGTAATATTAATAGTAGATTTACCCATGAGATCATACTCTTATTAGTGCCTATCTAAAATGTTGGTTTATTTTTACAGTATCACAGAAAAGCAGAACCACGTTTTTTTTTTTTAACCACTTGCATAGTTTACTTCATCTGTTAATATGTTTTATTATTATTTCTAGAATTTATAAGCTCCATGAGGGCAGATATTTAAAATGTTTTTTTAATTTCAATAGCTTTAGGGGTACAACTGTTGTTTTGATTACATGGATGAATTGTATAGTGGTGAAGTCTAGGATTTTAATGCACCCATCACCCAAATAGTGTACATTGTACCAAATACCCAATAGGTAGTTTTTCATCCCTCACCCCCCTCCCAACCTTCACTACTCTGAGTCTCCAATATCTGTTATACACCACTCTGTACACATTTGCATGCCCATAGCTTAGCTCCCACTTATAAGTGAGAATATGTGGTATTTGCTTTTCTGTTCTTGAGTTACTTTACTTAGGATAATGGCCTCTAGCTCCATCCAAGTTGCTGCATAAGATATTCTGTTTCTCTTTGTGGCTGAGTAGTAATCCGTGGTATATACATACACCACATTTTCTTTATCATGGATACTTGAGTTGATTTTGCATCTTTTCCATTGTTGTGCTGTGACAAACATACGCATGCACATGTATTTTTTATATAATGACTTGTTTTCCTTCGGGGAGATACTCAGTAGTGAGATTGCTGGATTAAGTGGTAGATTTACTTTTAGTTCTTTGAGAAATTTCTGTACAGTTTTCCATAGAAATTGTATTAATGTACAGCTGACCAGCAGAGTATAAGCATTCCGTTTTCACCACATCTGTGCCAACATCTATTGTTTTTTGACTTTTTGTTAATGAGCATTCTGGCTGGGGTACAATGGTATTTCCTTGTGGTTTTAATTTGCATTTCCCTGATGATTAATGATGTGGAGTATTTTTGCATGTTTGTTGGCTATTTGTGTATGTTTTTTTGAGAGCTGTCTGTTCATGTCATTTGCCCACTTTTCAATAGGATTTTTTGTTTTTTCTTGCAGATTGGTTTGAGTTCTTTGTACATTCTGGATATTGCTCCTTTGTCAGATGCATAGCTTGCAAATATTTTCTTTCATTCTGTAGGTTGTCTCTTTACTCTGTTGATAACTTATTTTTCTGTGCAGAAGCTTTTTAGGCCCCATTTATTTATTTTTGTTTTTGTTGCATTTGCGTTTAGGGTATTAGTCATAAATTCTTTGCCTAGTCCAATGTTCAGAAG